CAGCCATTTCCCTTTGCCTCTGGTCAGGACGAGCTCCTGACCCTGCTCCTGTTTCCACAGTTCCCGGCGGCACCACTGTGCTGGTGGAGCTCACCCCCGACATCCACATTTGTGGCATCTGCAAGCAGCAGTTCAATAACCTCGATGCCTTCGTTGGGCACAAGCAAAGCGGTTGCCAACTCACTAGCGCAACAGCCGGGGCCACCAGTACGGTCCAGTTTGTGTCAGAAGAAACGGTGCCATCGACACAGGCACAAACCAAAACCAGGACCATCGCTTCGGAGACCCAAACCATCACAGGTATTTTGGTGTTACATACCAGGAGCTTGAAAGCACGCGACTCGTGCAAAGTGGCAACGTTACGTAGCCCTCTGCTCGTGTGTCCCCATCACAGTAAGCTGAAATAACAGTTTTCACATGAGTCATCACATACCTGCAAGCAAAGGAAGAAAAGAAAAAAGTGGTGTGCTGCCTTCTTGGTTTTGGTATGACAGCGGTTACTTAACTTGCATCTCAGTTAGCAAATTCACTTGGAGAATTGCTTAAGACTAATGTGTTGTATAACCAACTTGTGCAAACTAATTAGAAATGTCAATACTTATGAAAAATAATCAAATTACTATGCATTTTATTTTTTAAGAGTGCTTTTGATGAAAAACAGACACAGAATTGCTGTCAGGCGCTACTCCAGGCCTTTTTATGTGAGAACACTGCATTCCCTAACATTGCTCCGACAACTAATTGGCAGGAAAAATATTACTCAAAATTTCTGCCTGTGCGAAGGCTCAAGTGAGGTCCTGATCCTGCAGACATTTAAATAAAACTAGAATTTTGTTCCGTGTGTGAAGGTTTGACCTGCTATATATAGTTTTGTTTTATTTTATTTTGGTCTGGGACCTTACTAAAATCCAAATTATTTGACTTTAATTTGGATAGACAGATTAGGGCAGAGAATCTGGAAGAGCAGTGAAGCAAACTGAATTCAGGGCTCACTTCCAGGAATTTTTGTATTATAATCCCTCAACTTGGTGTGGGTTTTGGATGAGTCATTTTTCTGCTTCATGTTTACTCATCTTTAAAATGAGGGCAGTTCTATCCTTCTGCCCTTTTGGGGTATAGCGTTGTTTAATTGATTTAAAAGCTGCTACTTTGGCTGAGATAGTTTCATCTGTTGTTCTTGTGAGTAATATCTAAAAACAGTATAGTTGAAAGAGGCTGAACTTTTTTAACAAATTAAAAAAAAAAATGATGCCTTTTTGACAACATTTGCCATGCAAATAATTTGGGATTTTTCTCCTTTGGGCTGTGGCACAGCCAGTGTTGAAAAACAAACATACTTTTATTAATGTAAGACCTGGACAGGCATCAGAAGAAACTGAACTTCTGAAGAAACTGAATGGTGCAGTCAGATAGGATTCAGAGGGAGACAACTGGGCCTACGTAGGGTTGTACTAAGTTTAGCGTGGCTCATCAGGTCTTGACAGAATTTTCATTGATAGCAGGATAACAAGGGAGAGAAAAGCCTTTCTCCTTCCCCCCTCCCCCAGGTGAATAGGAAGCCAGGAACAGGAATGTTGCTGGAAAAAACAGAATAGAGAAAAAAGTAATTAATAAACTAGAAAATAATTAGATTTTTCTGATTGGAGAAGTTAATGTTCTTAAATTGAGCTCTTTTATGTGTTTAGTTTCTGCACCAGAGTTTGTTTTTGAGCATGGCTATCAAACGTACCTGCCCAGTGAGAACAGTGAGCCTCCAACTGCTGCTATCGTCTCTACACCACCAAAAGCACGTTCAAGAAAATCCACTTCCTCACTTACACAGAAGAAACTAAACTGCTGCTATCCAGGTAAGATGTGGACTATACCTTTTTCCTTTTCATTTTAAAATTGATAGGTTTCATGTAGTGATATGCGCGGTAGCTCTGTCTGTCTTAAGCAGTTAAGACGTGCCAAACCTGGAAGGCAACTTACTAAGGGTGTGATGTACTACCATTGATACCAGTAGTAGTTTTGCCATTGATTTCACATGTCCTTAGACTTTGGTGCTATACCATGGTATACTCTGGCGATGCTGCAGTGGGTTTGCGTATAGACACTGGCCTGTGCCCACGCCCATAGCAATGTAAGAGCAGAATCTTGTTACATTTTTGCTAACTGCCATTGTACATGAGAAATACTACAGGTGCATTTTGCATTATATGTTTTGTCTTTGGTCAGTTAGCATTTTTATGAGGATGGATTGAACCGAAGTATTTGGAGACCTTAATGAGTAAAAACTGTGAAATACGCAGAAAACATGTGCAGAGACAGCCATGTAGATGAGTAGTCATATTAATGGTAGCAGGAGTTACAGCTTCTTTTTGCAAGCTTGCCTTCGTTTGAAAGGCACCTTTCAAATGCTTAGCATTCATTTCTATGCTCTAAAACTGTAGCATTTTCCACTTGGACAGAATTCCTGAATGGTGAGCTGTTACCTGAGTTCCCAGTTGCACTAACTTGAAGTCATACATGGAACTGATTAGTTCCCCCAGCATCCCCTGTGTACCCTAAAGAGCATCTCAAATCCTAGGCAGAGATTCCAGAGAACTTGTTTAAAGGCTCACAGAAAATGATAATGTAAAGAGTGAATTGCCTCCTAGGGGAAGCATTAGAAAACTAAGGTTCATAGGTAAGCCGGTCACTATTTTAAGTAGACGTGAGTAAACAAGATAGGGAATTCGTTTTCTGTTAATATTGAATTTTAAAGAAAATGTTCTTGAAAAGAAACATAATGCCCAGAATATGGTAGTATATTTTTTATTATTTTGTTAGATTTTCCTTGAATTTAATGATCTTAATCTTACCATTTTCAGGTTGCCAGTTCAAGACTTCCTATGGTATGAAGGATATGGAACGTCATCTACGAACACACACAGGTTTATATAGTTGCTATATTTTTTTTTTTGGTTGGTTTTCTCCTTTTGGCTTTTTGCCAAAGGGTGTTTTCCTACAAAATAACATATCTGTAGTTAAATTAGATAGAATGTATATGTATGTCTGTATATTCTAGTATTGTAGCTCTCTGTGCCTGGGGAATTGCCCTTTTTGGGTAAGCTATGTCCCACTGTGGGCAGTACCACTCACAGCTATGAAACATGAACACTGTACATCGATTTAAGGCACAGTTAAATTTCTGAGGTGCAGAGCATGTGTTTATCAGGGTGCAGTGTGGTGGTGCATAAACCTAGTTTGTTACTCATATGGAAGATGATTCCAACATTTTGCCTCCTTTCCCCCTAAACCACAACTTCAGAGATGTAAAGGGAGAAAGTTCCAAAGGGTCTTCTAAATTTGTTGCACTTGTGCATGCAGCCTTCTAGAGTATAGAAGAGTTCTTAGCTGATAGGATGGCTGCTGAAATCCAATGTCCAGCTTTTGAAAACTAGCCCCACTTCTATTAAGTGTTTAGTGTGTGCTTTTCTTTTTCGTTGCAACAACATCCTTACGGTGCAAAAATTCTTGATGCTCTTCTGTTTGTTTCAGGAGACAAGCCCCATAAATGTGAAGTTTGTAACAAATGTTTTAGTCGTAAAGACAAGCTGAAGATGCATATGCGTTCTCATACTGGGGTGAAGCCTTACAAATGTAAACACTGTGACTATGCAGCTGCTGACAGCAGCAGTCTCAACAAGCACCAGCGCATTCACTCCAACGAGCGTCCTTTTAAATGCCAGATCTGTCCTTATGCAAGCCGCAACTCTAGCCAGCTAACTGTACATCTCAGATCCCACACAGGTAAGTTTATACTAAAATTCACATCTGTAAAGGTTTGAAGATCATAGGAAGATTTTAAAAGGTACACAGGTGTCAAGATGCCAGAAAGGGCCTATTAGAATTCTCAAAAGCACCTAGGCATCCAGCTTCTGTGAATTTCTTGGGCATAGAATCTAGTAGGGCAATACAGCTCTACTAAAAATACCTGGAAGCAATCAGAAGACAGATCTGACTCTTGGTAGATTTTCTTCTATATTGATTTTGAAACTGCCTATTAGATGTTCTTAAATCAGTAGAACTGAAGGATCTAATTTATTGATTGATTGATTAAGAGTATGTAGGTTCCTATCTGTGTCTCTCAAATCTGGTCCACTAATTTAGGAACACTGAAATTACTTTATAATTGAACTAGTTATATCAATGCAAACCTCAGCTGCATAATTTAATTTTTCTTGCATCAGTAAATTAGCAAGTAATTAGCAATTTAAGTTACTTTTTTTTTTTTAACCTTTCTTTGTGTTACCTTCCATGTGCAGACTGATGGACATCAACAGTGTAGTATGAGCAGTCAGAACTATATTCTCCATATCATTTTTGCTCTATATATAGCCTCCAGGCTTATAAACATTGTATCATTTTATATTTGTATTATTTGCCTAAGTTTCGTTTTAATCAGATTTCTCTTTTATAGATTGTTCCTAGAAGAGATTTGCTGTGAAGATACTGCTGTACAGTTGTCTTTGTACAGTTGTCTTTGTATGTTGTTTTTCATCTAATCCAGGGTACTGGATTAGTTTCTGTGTTGTCTTTTATACATTTGATTAGTTCTGTGAATTTTAGCTGCAAGGTGGTTATGGTTCAGTGATTACTAGATTAGCTTTGAACCTATCCTACATCTGATTCTGAATTCGAATACTAAACAACATTAGTTCAGATGTGTGCAAGATGGGATTTATTTTGAGTAGATAAAAGAAATAAATCCCTTGTGCATTGTGAAGGAGGGGAGGGTTAAACCAATCTGTCTCTAGCAGAGAAGAATCTTTTATACTTCACAAATCTGCTGTGATGGAACAGGCAGGACTGTCAGGCAGTTGTTTTACAGGTTTCCCTCTTTCTATTGCTATATAAGAAGATGTGATGGTCAGTCAAAATAGTATGGGTTGTTATGAGAAATTATCCGTTAGTAAACACACTACTCAGAGAATATGGTATTGCATTTTCCCCATATCATATAAGAGTGTGCATACTTGTGCATTCATGTACGTGGGCAGGTATGCGCTGAATTTGGCTGTGGGAGAACCTATAAATGATCATGGTTCTCTTGTATTTCCAGTCGAGTTAGATTTTTGTGGTATTAAATATTGCAATAGTTGGGAAGGGTTTTTAGGCTACCTTCTTTCTTTTTGGCACATCAGTCTGTTGTATCTTAAATTGAATGATGCTAAAATTCAAGTCTGTAGTTTTGTTGTCTCTTCCATTTCTTCAAAGTAAATCCTCTTTTGTAAAAGGACTTCTTTTGGTTCGCTGAAAAGAGGCACAAGAATTTTGAAAGTAATAATTTCATCCTTGTTAGGTTACAAAGCTGTTATGCACACAGCCAATTTTAGGGGAAAAGTAAGACTGGTATGTAGAATATATTGCTTACTGGAGTTAAATCAGTCATTCTCTGGAAGATGAGTGTAATCAGCGTGAGATCATCTACATAGCATTACTTGTTGAACTAGTCATCTAAAAATCAGTTTCCTGTTAATTTGAGTAAAACTTCTCTTACAATTAATAATTCTAGGATCAGACACACTCTTTTTAAGCTATATTCTGTCAGTGTCGATTATGTATGGACAGAAATGTAAAGAAATACAAGTAATGGACCACGCTTTAAATAAACGGAACCAACATACTTTGCTATATTCAGTAAAATTACAGGGTAGCATAATATATGAAAAAGAATTAATATGTGAAAATTTAGTCATTGAAATACGTACTGTGCCTTCATCAGCAAAGTAGATAAAAATTCAGTAGCTGAGTGTGCAGCTGAGACTGTAAAATAAACTAGATGAACAAACAGTGCATCTTCATTAATAAAATCTGTTTAATATAGATAATACACCATGTATCTCAATTATTAAACAGATACATGGATTAGCACAGTAGGCTGCAACTTGATTTGAAAAATATGCAGCTAAACCTATGACATATGTAGCTGGATAAGCAAATTATGCAAAATTATACAGCTATCACAAACTATAAAATACTGACTTATAAAATAAATCAGCCATTTGCAGTTTGATTATTAAAGAAGATAAATGCTTGCTGAACTAAGTACACACTCTTTTTCCTTCCCCACCAAGAGTGTCTTAGAATCTAGTAACACAATTCTTCCACTTTTTCAAAATAATGCCTACCTAAAGACTTCATCCTTAGGTACTTTAGAGAACTACATATTTAGATTAAAGAAAAAAAGTGAACAGTTATTTAGTTGGGTTGGTAGGTTTGCTTTGGATTTTTTTTAATGACTTCAGAACTCGTCTTCACCCTGGAATTGATTATGGACTAAACAGAGCTACAGCTTAATTTGGTCATGCATGTTGTGACACAAGCCTGCAAATAAAGAAAATGCAAAATAGTGGTTTAGATCCAGGCAATTCAGATGGTCATTCGTGTAGGTAACCTGACATAAATAGGCTTACAGATATCTTGCAGATTAGTGTGTTCATTTTCCATGCTTTATCCGTTAAGAATTTGACCTAACTTTCAACTACATTGTTAGGTTTCTGGATCAGCATTGCTCTACAAATAAAAAAAAAAAAGGCACTTATGAATATTTTTTCTACCTGTTTGCATGAATACACACTGATATTGCATGAATACAAACTGATACTAGATTTTCTTGAAGTGATCTGTGGAACATTATTAGGTATGCTACATGGGGCAAATATCTCTTTCTTGGTTGCTGTAATGCCAGAAGAACAAAAGCTTAATGTTACTTCTGTGTGTAAGCACATTTCCCCAGAGTTGCAGACTTGCATGCGTGTTTCATTAGTCTCACATTTGTCTTTTCCAGTTGCATTTATGTAGCTGTGATCCCTCTTTTTTTTTTTTCTTTTTTTTCCCCCCCTGTAACTATAGTAATGTTATAGTTGTGCAGTCACCTGACACTGACCTAGGACTTTTGTCCCTACCTCTCCCTATGTTCTGGACAAGAGTTTCCACTGCCTTCCTGTGCCAGCAATGGTATTTGTGCTGCACCACATGAACCAGGCCAAAAAAGTAATCAGTTTTTCTTGTTAGCTAATCTAACTCAACTATATGGTTGAGCAGTAAGGCTGGTGCCCATTAAGCATCTGTTTCTGCAGTAGCCTACCATTTACCTAGGCTTACAGTTAACCTACAAGCCTCCCTGTAAACCTTGTAGTGTAAACCTGAGATATGGATGTGTTTATGTTGTTTTCTTAGACTTCAAAAATATAGCAGCTGTTAAAGTTACAGTGTTTATTTTTATTAATTTTAAACACTGGTTGAGATACACTGTTGCTAAAGAGGGACAAATGAGAAACTTCGGTCACTTCCCTCAAGCACACGGAACAGTTTTACACACAAAATGAACTAAAAAATGGAGAATATCTAAGAGGCAGAAATGAAAAAGCAACAGATGTGGGCAGGTATGCTCATGGAGAGTTTGCACACAGATATGTCAGACCAGGTGATAAATACTGTGCCATTAAAGTTCTCTACATCTTGAAAATATGTTGGGAGTTTACAGGTATTTAGAACAAGTCAGCTATACGTGATTCATTATAGCATTGGCGTCTCCAGTAGATCTTGGTGTCTCATCTGTAATTTGAACTGTGTTTTTTGTTGACAGGAGATGCTCCTTTCCAATGTCAGATGTGTCCTGCTAAATTTAAGATCAACTCAGACTTGAAGAGGCACATGCGTGTGCATTCTGGTGAGAAACCTTACAAATGTGAGTTCTGTGAAGTCCGGTGTGCCATGAAAGGAAACTTGAAATCACACATTCGTATCAAGCACAGCATGGAAAATACTCTCAAGTGTCCAGAGTGTGAATTTCAGTGTGGAAACAAAACAAGCCTTCGGCACCACATAAGAACTCATCAGCCCGAACAACCAGTGAAGTGCTCAGAGTGCAACTACTCTTGCTCCAACAAGGCAGCTCTGAAAGTGCACGAGAGAATTCACTGCAAAGATCGTCCTTTCAAATGTGAATTCTGCAGCTTTGATACCAAGCAGCGGAGCAACCTGACAACTCATGTGAGGAAAGCTCATGGTGACAAAGTCAAGACCAAGAAGCAAACGGTGGAGAAGAAGGAAGGAGATAGGCCAAAGCAGGGTGGCTCCAGGCAAGTTGCCAAATTGGATGCCAAGAAAGCATTTAAGTGTGACCTGTGTGATGCTTCCTTTGTCCGAGAAGATTCTATTAGGAGTCATAAGAAGCAGCACAGTATGTATAACGGCTCTAAAAATAATGAACTGGCTGTTCTACAGCTCCAGATGGATCCCAGTCGGCAAGCCAGTGCCCCAATTACTGTCAGTCACCTCCAGGTCCCACTTCAGGCTGCTCAGGTTTCTCCATACAATGAGGGAAGGGTCAAGATCATCGTGGGTCACCAGGTTCCTCAGACTAACAGTATTGTTCAGGCTGCATCAGTGAATGTCGTGCCTCCTACATTAGTTAGCCAGAATCAGGAAGACCTCTCAGCCAACAGCCGCTTGCAGCTGCTGGGCCAAGTCAGTTTGTTGGCACCACCTCCACCTCCCATATCTCAAAGCGAAGCAGGGCCTGTGGCACAACCAGCAGTTCTTCTCACAACCCATGACCAAAGCGATGGAAGCGCTTCTGCTCCTGTCAGCAGTCATGAGGCTTCAGCAAACCAAGCTTTCATCACCAGCTCTGGAATCAGCTGCTCTGACTTAGAAGGCCTTAATGCTTTGATACAAGAAGGAGCAACAGAAGTGACTGTGGTTAGTGATGGAGGTCAGAGTATAACAGTGTCCACTTCAGCTCCCCCTCCTCCTATATTTTCTTCATCCTCTCACACAGAACCCCCTAAGCAGACCTATTCTATCATTCAAAGTGGAGCCCATACAGCTTTGCTGTGTCCAGCAGACTCCATACCAGATTAGTCGCAAAGTACTATTACTAAACAAATTTCAATCTTGGAGGCAGTGCTGAATTCAGCAGAAATGCATAAGACATAAGTGAATGCAGGATTTGTCCTACAAAGCCGAATACCTTCTACTTACACATTTTACTTGTCTGTACATGGAAACATACATCTTGTATGTGAAAAAGAGGATGTGTATATTTACGTGCCTCTATTGAAATCAGAGGCTGTGTTCTTTGTAAAATCTGAGCATCGAAGCAACTGTTGACAATTTCACCAAGCAGTAAGCTTCCCAGAGTATGATTCTTGTATTGTGCTGGCTAAAATAAGAAAGCCTCACCTTATGATGAATTACCTTCACAGCAGACTCGTTCTTTCATGCACATACGAGAAGGTAATAGTTCAAGCCATTCTGAAGTCTATTTTTAAGTGAAGTCTGTTTCAATTACATGCAATGTATGCATTAACTGCACCTGGCTTATTGTTGATCTGTAAGAAATGTCTACTACTGGGTCTAATGCAGCCTTAGCAAAGTTTAAGGGGGCTGTTCCTTAATATCTGTAGAAGTTGCTAGCACCGGGCACTTAATCTGGAAATGCTTATGCAGAAGACCAGGTGATCATTTTTAGAAAACAAAATAATTTTATCTGTCCGTCAGTAATAACTAACTTCGTTAGCAAGAACACTATTACAAATCATATATATGGCACAGTGATCTCTGTCAGAGACACCTGTGTTTTAAAGAACAAAACAACTGCAAATATATTTTTTACAGACACTACTTAAATTTTGTTTTTATTTTGATGCTGCCTGTTTGTAGTTGCATGGGTGGTAAAAGTGAATTACATTTTAGCTCTGTTCTTTTCAAGTTAAAGGGGAAAAAGGAAAAGATTGAATTCATTCCATTTTAAATAAAAAAAAAAGGATAGATTCTAATCCGAGGTCTGAAACTCCAGCATAAATTCAGATTGGATCACAATGAGATAGTAATTTAACATTATATGATGCACATTTCTATAATGAATGAATTCTAGGCTGTATTTTGAACTATGCAATATTATATCTGGTCAGCATTCTCGTAGTGGTAGCTAATAATACCTTCACTACCAAACTACCTAGTTAAAGAACAGACTCTCAACTTGAGAAGGTAGACAGCTCTGTAGGTGCCTGGATCTGCAAAAATCAGAGATCATTTCACAGCCAGACAGCATCCCAAGGACAATTGTTAACATACATGAAGACTGAAAAGAGACTTACCAAAACCAGCTCTGAGATTCCCTTTTGGGGAATCAAAGTCAAGTTAAATTCACAGTATTTGCTAGTGGGAGACATTGAATGATTGCTTTATGTGCTAGAAACATGCTTGGAAAACTTACAAAGATTATATAATCAGGGCCACTTTCTGAATAGGCCTCGTGTTTGAGATTTTTAGCTTGTACAGCCTTTATTTTGTGTATGTGGGGGTGCTCCCCGCTCCTTCCCTCTGTGTGGTGTGGACTACATACAGTGTAAGGCTTCCTGCTTTACAGTGATGAGTAGGAAAATGCAATCATAACTCACAAGTACGGTCATACAGGTTGTTCTTGAAAATGTGACCTTTGTTTTTGGTTGAAATAAGGGTGGTTTAAACTTGTAAACTTGAATGCTCCAGTATTGCTGTCTTCATTATTTATGGGAAATAGTCTTTTTGGAGATCCGTATCTCTTCTGCCTTCCTAATCCTTGATTCTAAATTAACATTCTTTTAAAACAAAAAACCCATCCAAATAATCTGGGTTTTAAAATCTGGGTTTTGATTTGAAATGTTTGACAGAGTGCTTGACACTTGTGGATATCGGAAAAGACCACACTCCAGTTAGAGGGAGAAACTTCATAAATGCGTAGTTAAAAAAGCATTATTAAAGACTTGTTTTCTAGCCCGATGCTGCATTGAAATATGAAGCAAAAGTTCTAAGTTCACTGACAGTTGTATTTTGGGGTTTATTATTTCCTACACTTGTTCTGCAACTTTTCTGGTGATACAGGTTTGTTAATTTTCTCTTCCCTACTGATAGGTGATTTAAGGAGCTGACAAGACCCAGTTCCAAGTCACTGAGCATGCCTATTTTTATATAAATTAAAAGTAGATGGGAGGTTTTTACTACATTAGATCACTGTAGAACATTCATTGAGAACAATAAACTGAAAGCCTAGATACTTTGAATTTTAATGCTGGCATTGCTGTTTTGTGGCTCTCCAGTCATGTTTCATTGTTGTACCTATAGCACAGACCTGTTCATTACATTTCAGCTGTGTTGAAACTGCTTGTAAAGCACTTGGAAGATAAAAGGCATCACAGGTAAGTGCTTGATCTTATTATATATATGGTCCCCGATATCCAGGTTGTAAATGATCACTGGAGCAGCATAGATCAAACACTTTGTTATCTTTGAATTAAAACGCCTGGCATAGCAGCAATTCTTCAGTATTAAACCATCTCCAAATGTATGTGTGCATACGTGCGTGATCTAAACCATCAGGCTGTGTACAGTGTTTCTGTGCACTGGGCCAATAGTTATTGTAAACACTAGTGAAAGATGGGACACTTTCAGTCCTGTAACAGTAAATACACATTTTTCACCCAGCTTGCAGTGGTTCTAGACCATGTGCAGCACTGGCATCGCAGGGGAGGAGATGCTTCCCCAGGAGCGCGAGTGCCTGGTGGGGCAGAGCTGCCCAGGCTGTGGCGTGGGTGATGGGCAACTGAGCTGCAGGAGAGCAAGCCTGGGGAAGTTCAATGTAGTTGAAGGTCAAGTCTATTTGACCTGCAGAGGGAGGGGGGCTCCTTCAGGTCATCTCAGTGGTCCAGTTTACAGCACTGCTCTGCAAACAGTTACAGTAGCATAGCAAGGTAGATGGTAAACTACAACCAAGATCAAACCAGAGATGGGTCGGGTGGGAGATTTCTTCCACCTCCCTTTTTTGCCAAATTGTAATACTGAACAACACAAATGGTGATAGCAAATTATACTCTCAGCTTTCAAAACCTGTGCTAGGTCTTTGAATAGGGTTTGAATAGTCCGTTGGTGATCTAGGTTTTAATACCAGTTATTATATATTTTCCCTTTATTGTAAGACAAAAGAATCTAAATTGATCTGCCCTCACATACTTGGTTTTGTCACTGGTAAGTCTGCCTCTGTGTCTGCGTGCTCACATGCCATCTTCCCAATATTTCCTGCTGGTTGATTTTATGAAGGTTGGCGATCTCAAGGATAATGATGTTCTAATTTCTACAAGCCACATGGGTAGAGAGTTTAAGTATCCCAACTGAGGGGCTTGCATGTCAGAGACCCTGGTGATGGACCTTTCCAAGTGCTCCAGCTGGACAAGAAGCTTCTGCCTGGGACATGGGATAGGAGCTGGTGGAGATGTGCTGCTCCGGGTTTAGAGCTGGTGGCTATACATTGCTGCAAAGGGGGTGGTAGTCTTATTTTAAGATGAAAGTTTGGATGTAACTGCTGATCAGTTACATCAGTAACAGACTAACTGCTGATACTGTTGGGTAAGGTAGGCAGGCAGCTTTCGGTATAGAAAATCGTACCAAGCCTACAAACCTGTAAATGCAAATATACTACAATTTGGCAACTAAAAAGTAACAATTTTCATATACTTGTTGGTATAAATGAACTCTGCATGCAGGGTTTCATGAGCATGAAGTATTTTGTGTCATCTATAGGTGGTGCTAGAGATCCAGATAAACTTTTAAGTGTGCTCTTCTGCTTGATGGTCTGTTTCCTGTTGAACAGTTCCCTGCTTTTAACTCTTTGCCAGGTAAAAACATTTCAAAATCCACTTTTATAAGACGTTACAAAGAGCTTAGCTGGAAAAATTTTACTTTCACTTAAGATAAAAAGCAACAAATAAACAAAATGTCCTAAGTTTTCTACTGTTAAAATCCCATGAAGCAGATCTATGGCCAAAACTTAATGTCACAATTTATGTTAAATTGATCATTTTTTTTACTCCCTGTTAATTAATTTTAATCTGTACATAGCCTGCAGCTGCAGAATTGTCGTGCGCTACAAGAATGATACAAAATGAGCGATTTTGACAAAGCTGATGGTTTGAACTGCAATTTATCTGTGTTTGCACTTGGCCAACAGACCTGCACCCAGGGGATGCACCAGCATGTCCAGGAATCTCATGTTCAATCTAAAGTCACACTTAACGTTACACAGCTCTGTTATCTGCATTTCAGCTTCACAAAAAGGCTTGTTTACCTTCTAAAATAGGAAACCAGTAGATTTGTCATATTGTAAAGACTAACCTTCATTCTGGTCCTATGTGTGCCTCTAAGATAAACAGGAAAGATAACAAAATGGTGTGAATGAATAGACAAAGCTTAGTGCTGCTTCTTCAACATTGTTTAGCTGATTGCATTATGTTTAAGTGAACAGTCCAGTTCCACCCTAAAAAAAAAAAAAAAAGCTGATGACCAAGGCTAACATGGGGGCATATTTTTTTTTCAATTTTCTGTTCCAATATTCTGGCTTTATTTTTGTGTATGACGATAATGGTCTTTGTATTTTGGAGCTGGCAGAAGCAGATTGTTTTAATCTTTGATATTCATTTAATACATTCTTCATGTTATCAACAGAACTATCCCTTGAGAGAGCATGGTAATTCATAACAAGTGTCTCTTGTAGAGTTTGCTTGCTTTCAAGCAGATGGTAAATAAATGGTATACCTTCCTGGAGTTCTGCCGTAGCCACAGAGCTCTGTAGCAAGTTGTCTCTCCAGGAGAAAATATTTGGATGGATTTTGTTCCTCTTGCCTGGGGATCTCCAAGCCCTCCCTGGTAAGCACTGAGCCCCACAGTGCGCGTGTGGCACAGAGCGAGCAGAACCAGCTGCCCGGGCTGCTGCTGCGGAGCACTTTTCACTTCTGTTCTCTTGTTACAAAATGGATGATGTTTACACTGCATTGCACTGAACTGGCTCTAAGAGGAAAATGTAAAACTAAATATTCTGCAGTTAGCTTCCCTCAACTCATTCATTGCAGGTTTTGCACTCTGCACA